ATTAATTTCCCCAAGTTGAGACTGTTTTGCCTGTGACGGTAATTGCTCAATGATCTCTGCCTGTCCTTATCTCGACCCACAAGATTTTCATTACATTTTCTCTCCCCTGTCCAGTTGAGGAGGGGAGTGACACAGCGGCTTTGGTGGGCACGTGGCGTCTAGTCAAGGTTAACCCACCACAGCTTCTCATGACTACTGTCCAGGGTTGCTATTTCATGGTAATCAGCAAAGTACAACGTGAGGAAATGCATAATTTTAACTGTTACATCAAGAATTAACTTGGTGGAAAAAAAAGTCTCTCATATGAGAGTCTGTGAGAAGCTGGGCTCAGTCATAGCCCCTTTTTATCTCCAAATCAAACGAAGCTATGGAGGAGAGAATGTGATGGGGATAAACGACAGAAACTCCCTCTCCTTGAAGCCAGCGATGCTGGGGCTAAGGTCAGACACCGCGCTGTTTCTCCATTAAGTGCTCTGCCTGATCGGGTCACCTGAAGCACTGGGGGAAGAGGGAGGCATTTGCAGGTGCTTCTTCAGGAAAATCAGATAAACCTGGTCTCTTTCATATTAACTATCACCTAGAACATGGAATAAAAAGACTAAAGAGAAGAGCAACAATTAAAGTTAGAATGAGGTAAGATTACATTTTAATGGCCAACTGTGGTACAGATGCTATGAATATGGAATTTCTCTCAAAATTCTAATTCTTCAAATCAGAGAATAATGCAAGTAAAAAAATTGAGATTTCTTTTCAGAGCAGAATTCTGTTCTTTTCCACTGATCAACAACTGAGACTTTTTGTTGCTAAGGAGGAATGATATGAAGCCATTAAATGACTTGAGTGAACTAATAATGCTGGTTACATAACGTATATTTACAGTCTGTTTGCAAAACAACTTATACAGAAAACTGTATCACAAATCCTAATAATTAAATAAATAAATAAGTCAACTTACTAGCTCATATTACCTTGCCTATTGTCCAGGAAGAATCAAGCATATGGAATACTGTGATAGTAAAGTCTTCACTCAGTTTAACACAAGAGAAAAAAAAAAAAAATCTGGATTTCAAATGCATCATTTATATTTTATCCAACTGCTTTACAGATGAACACCGTATCTAAAAATGTCCTGGTATTTAGATTGTGTACCAGCACCTATAGCAATACCAGTAATTCAGGATGGCCACTGACCAATGGAATAACTGGCCTAAGACTAATGGTTTTCTGAAATCTTTCCAAACAGCCGACATGATGGCAGACATCTGCCCAGTAGGTAAATAAGTAAACTGATGGCAAACTGAGGTCTGTTTAAGATGACAATTCAGAATATTTGTGTTTAACATTTCCTTAGCCAAAGAATGATAAAAGATCATAGAGTTAACAGACACACTCAAACAAAAAATGGAATAACTTCAGCCATTAATTCAGTGGAAGATGTTTCATGTTATTCACAAGCTACACAAAGCTAACATTTTAAAGTCCTTTGCACTACTGATAAAAAAAACCCTAGTAATTGCAAATAGTTGTACTTTGTATTTTTTCTAAAATAAAAGCTGACAGCCTAGAATTACAAGAATCAAAAGAGACTCTGTATGCCAAAACTTGCCTTTCCTACCTTCAGAGCACTCTGTGGATTTCTGCTTTAATGTTTCAGCTCAGAGCCATTCCAAATTGGCAATTACAGCAATTATCAGAAAAAAAAACAGACATAGAAGGAAAAGTATAAAGCAGAACGAGCATGTCAAATTTACACCCCTTTTCTCTCCTAGAATGGACATGCCCATTTCAAGAAAAGCTCCCACATTTTCTGTTGGTACACTACCTTATGACTTGTGTTCAGTTTTTCCTAAATGACATCACAGAACAAGGACTCAAAGCCTTGCAAAAAGTATAACAAGATGAGGTAGAAAAAGCCTCAGGATATGAATACAAGAAAAATTTTAGCCAACTCAAACTCCTAAACTATTCCTCATTTAACAGCGCTTGTCATACAATTTAAAACTATTTTTCACATATTTTAAGTAAGAAATTTTTTGCAGTTGACATCAACGTCTAAATGAGGTAATTTAATACTGTAATACTGTAAAGGTATTGCAAATCTTACGGAGCATGTCCTGAGAAATTTCTTCCAAGACATTCCTTACTTTAATGTCCAACTAGTCTTTATTATATGCAGAAAAAACCTCAGTATTATTTCTTGGTTGCCGAAGTAGACCGAGATAAAAGGCAAAAGTAAAATAGTATTCTATATAAACTTAAGGAAAATAGTTAATGTGTTTTATTGCAAACTTATTAGTCTTACTAAGAATGCTTTCATTTTATTAGGCTGAAGATCACTAATAGCATCTCTAAATCAAGGTTTAAAAGTTTTTCTTTCTGAAGATGTTCCAAAGAACAAAGATTGGAAACTTGAAACACTCAGCATACCAAAACCTTGACCCATCTTCCTGATCCATCATAGCTAGAAAGTAAAAATAAATCATCAAAGTATAAATCACCAAGCACAAAGTATATGTTAAGACTACAAGATCTTTACATTCAAACCATTTTTGGACCTTTGGTAATTTAATTCTTTGTGGAGAATGATAAATAATAGATCATCCAAGTATAGTTTATGTTCTTTGTTTTCGTGTGCCAAACCCTACCCAACAGCACACAAAACACACTCCTAGCCTTGTCAGTTCATGAGATAGCAATTGTGTCATGCGTATCACTTTACTCCTCTCAAGTAAGCATAATTTTAGCAGTCACAATTGCAGGAAGCGTTAGAGCTAGAAAACAAATGCTTTACACTATGTAGATTCATGTTCAGATGGTACTAGGCTCTAATGATTTGGAATTCAAGATATTACATAGCTAACAGAATTTAAGTTTAGAAATACAGACCATTTATTTTCAAGGTACCAGACCTCTCTCATTCTCAGCACAGAATACATATTTTCAGGATGAGTATCTTACATATTGGATTGATGAGATAAATCAAGCCAATGACAAAAGTCATGTAGAAGCAAAATGACATTATTTATTAAAAGTAATTTAATAAAATGTCCACAGATAACTCAAAATGCAGAGATTTATGTATTTTTCTGTAATTTCTGAAGAAGCAGCTCCATTTGTAAGTTTAGATTTGGCTGCCCTCTTTTCGTCTTCTTACTCAGTATTTTATAAGCTTCCATTTTCTTTTGCTTGTACAACCGTTGAGCTGCTTCTCTTTGTTGTTTTCTTTTTTCTGCTTCCTAAAATTAAATTATGAAATTATGAAAACGATTATGAAGTAATTACATACCTTCTATAACTACGAAGCTATCTATAAGCAATAAAATTTCTTTTGTGAAGATACTGGCAATTAGGTATTGTACTGACCCTAGAAACACTACTACTCTTAAAGGCTTAGTCAGGATGCTCTTTCAGCACATACTTCAATCAAAACATATTATACTGCCTAAAGCTTCAGGAGAAGAGCCAAGTTTTCTTCAGCAGAACATCCTGTGGTAAGGTTTGTCATTAAAATATGTACTACTTCTTTTCTGTGAAATGAGCTCCTTGACTTTTCTCCTTAAATGACAAAGTGACAAAAATTTCCCACTTTCTTCTCTTGAGTGCAAGAAAGATGATCCAGTGGCCCCCATATAAATGTCTTGCTAATCCAGATGTGCTAGGACACTGGACGCATCTGCACGGGACTAGCAGATAGGATATGGGACATATCTGGAGCTGGAAGTTGGGCACGTTTGTGATACTGGGACAGCACCACAAGCAGCATTACCTAGGGCAACTTCATCAAGATCAAACTATTAGTGGCCTGTCCTCTTCAAAGCAACAGACTACTGTCTTTACTAAGAGAGAGAAAAACAAACACTTAACCAAATTTTCAACTGTACAAACTTTCCATGTTGAGGGGACAGCACATATGCACCCAAAACACCCAAATGGAGGCACTTACACTATACCGATAATCATAATGATATTATATTCAGTTTTTATCAAACAGCTTACACATCCTTTTCTAGTGCTGTAATTTTAGTACATAATTTGGGCAAACATCAATAACAAGCAAGTTAACTAGCTTGCTTCACTTGTATCACGTCCTACAAAAATACGCAAGACATCATAAATCAGACTGAGGGACTGCTTCAGTTCATTTGGATGATTTCCTTTCATAAGGCTTATTCTTTGAAATGCAGTGCCATGCTGACCACAAAGGCAGATGTTTCTGCAGAATGCCCAAATAGATGATAATTTATCAATTATGTTTTGGTTTTCCATGCCAGAGATGGCTCCTGTCATGTAGAAAAATTAGTAAGAATGCTCTGTGATGAAGAATATAAACTTAACTAGAAATAACCCAAGAAAATATTTCTACATAGAAATCTAAGACGCTTTGGGGCAGGGGGGTGGGGGGAACCAAACCTGCAAAGGTAACATCTCTCCATTCAGAATGCTTCACTTATTTACCGTAACAATGATTAATATCATTCATTCCTTTGTTTTTTTTAAACCAGAGTAGCATCAACTCTAACTTACCTTAGTAGTTCACTTCCTATCTAATAATTTTACTGCTGTTCAGCATACTGTTGTAAACAACATCCATTTAAGCCACTAACCAAATGCTTGCTCAAAGCAAGAACATTCATCTTACTTAAGTAGTTGTTACTTACATTCTTATTTTTTTCCGATCTCTACTAAACCGTAGCTTTTTTATATAGTGTGGAGGCCAAAACTGTGCCCTTAAGCTTATTTCTTTTCCCAAATTAAATAACAGCAGATCCATTGTTTGCTAACACACACATGAGGGTAAATTATGTGATCATCATACCAGTATTCCCCATAAATGATTACTGTTATTGTGGCCCTTAGCTCCTGTTCGTTTTGCCTAAATATCTTGAATAAGACCAAAAATGCTAACACCTCCCCTCAGGAAACTCTTATGTGCTGCTCAAAGAAAATTCCTTGCAGTCTTGCTGGGTGTCCTGGTTTCAGCTGGGATGGAGTTAATTTTCTTCACAGAAGCTAGTATGAGGCTGTTTTGGATTTGAGATGAAAAAACTGTTGATAATGTCCTGATGCTTTCAGTTGTTGCTAAGCAGTCAAGGACTGTCCAGCTTCCAATGCTCTGGCCTGCCAGTGAGAAGGCTGGGGGTGCACGGGAAGCCGGGAAGGGACACAGCCAGAACAGCTGACCCAGGCTGGCCAAAGGGATAGTCCATACAATACAACATCATGCTCAGTGTATAAACTGGGGGAGTTAGCCAGGGAGGGGCCATGGTTCAGGAACTAACTAAGCATTGGTCAGTGGGTGGTAAGCAATTGGGCTGTGCATCACTTGTTTGGTATATTCTTTTATCATTATTATTATTTTTATTTTCCCTGCCCTATTAAACTGTCTTTGCCTCAACCCACGAGTTTTACCCTTTTTCTTTCCTGATTCTCTCCCCCATCCCGCTGTGGGGGGAAGGGTGAGTGAACAGCTGTGTGGCTGTTTGGGCTACCTGCTGAGTTAAACCACAACACTGAGTTTCTATTTCTTCCTATTTCCTCTAAATAAGCTGGTCATAATATTAATTTATTTTAGCATGACCTATATCTAATATTAAAAAAAGAAGCTCTCAGCTGAACAGCCACGTGACTCGCCCACAATCACGGATCAGGTTGCATAAAACTACTCTGGTTTTCAATACAGCTAAGCTGAAGAAGTAATTTGTTTTATCCATCTATATATTTATGTGATATTTATACAATAGTTACTGAAATTTAGTTTGTCAGCAGCAAGTTACTCAACTTTTACAATGTTACAATGTGTGCCATTTTACAGTGCAACAAACAATGTACTGGGAGAGAATAAAATTAGTTAAATAAGTATGTCTCCAATAACTCAGCTGGGTTATTCAACAATGATAATATTAAGATATGCCCTGTAAGAATAAGTTCTAATTAATTAAATTAGAATGAGGGAAAAATTACTAAAGATTCTGGCCATGGATACTATTACATTTAATTGTTTCACTGTTGGACAAAGCAGATAGAAAGGTAAAATGAAGACTGTGTTATGGTAACGCCATAAGAAATAGGACAGATATTTCCTTTTTCATCACTAGATGATGGTATTGTTATTACTTCCCCTTCTACAATACTTAAGAGGTCTAGTATAATCCTCTGGGATATGCAGATCAAGCTTTAATTTTTTCTTGATGTACCAACTGACATAATAAAATCCCACTAACGTCAACTGCAAGACAAAAATAGTAAAAACAAAGAGAATGATAATTTTGAACACCTGCATGCCTGAATAGTACTGTCAAGTTGAAAAAGACTGAAGGAATACCAATACCTGTGTTCCTCTCCTATGGTTCTATCTGGATCCAGATGGAAGACTGACAGGTAGAAATGGTATTAATCTAGTCCTTGCTTACAATCAAGAAACATCTCTGTTCTGATTTACCTCTTTCTTTCTAGCATGCTCAGCCTTTATTTTCTCATACTCTTCTTTTGCCTTCTGGTTGGACGTTTTCTTTTTACACTTCCCTTCAGTCATAACTGACCTGTAAGAAAAAGTACATGTACTTCAGATACTTCACCAAGCAGACGTAACCGTATATCTCATCGCTCCTGCAGAATCAGAGAACAGTCTTCTACTCTTCTACATTTTTTTCCCCCCATATTCAGTGAAGATGATTAGAAATACAGATTTCAGAAGGCTCATCCTTCTACACTAAGTGGATAAATATTTGCACCACTCCTACATGATATGCAACACCATTACATGTAAAGTAATGAGCAGCTGGCATGAAAACACAGGAAGCAAAACTCCTCTGATGCCGAGTGTACCAAAGACTGGACTGCACACAGCTTTTAGTAATACATATACCTTATCTGCTGGATCTTCACATGGATGATGTTTCGTGAAGTTTAAAGAGTACCTAAAAGGGGGGGGGGGGGGGCGC